TTCTGGTGTACCTTTGTCGATCGATTTGCAATTGCACTTGTCGATCTATGCTGATGTTTTAGGATGACATGCAAGCCGTTTTTGAAGTACTTTTTACTTCCTTCTGCAGTCATTGTGTTTCTGAATGTAATCCACTGTGTTCTCATCACATCTCTTGTCAAGCTTGTCCTCGGTAGTGTTCAGAGCTTTGTAGAGTCTACCAATGACTTGATCAACCTCTCTTCTTGTATATAATTTCTGAGTTGGTAGTTTCTTGGTGTCGATCGATTTGCCTTTGTGCGTATCAACCGATGTCGAGCCTGGTAGGTGAAAGTCGATTTGATTATGGATGGTGTCAACTTCCTGTTGTAAAGAAGTCATTCGGGCATCTAAACTGTATAAGTGTCGCATGAATGGAGAAGTTAAATGGTCGTTCTCATCTTCACAAGACTTCATTATTTCCTCCATGGCTATGAATCTGGCATCGATTGATGTGGTAGCATCGGTGTCGATCGATACAGGTTTCTCAGGTTGACACTTCTCTTTGCGGAACATATCTAAATCCTTATGTGTCAACTCAATCTTCGTGCTTAACCAGCTGACATTGTTGTTAAGAGGATGGTAGACTTCACTGATCTTTGTGTTGATGTATGTCTTGTTCCTAGGACCTACTTTTCTTGTTAACATCTCACATGTGCAGGCGTGTGTTTGGCGTCGATCGATGCGTCCGTATTGGCATCGATCGATGCGGCTGCGGTTGCTTCCTCTGCACGTTGTGTTTGCATAATAGCTAGTTCTACTTCCATCTCTTGCATGAGTGTGGTTAATCCTCCGATGTTGTCATGCAGAACAAAGTAGACATCATCAAGATTCTTGTTGAACTTTAGCCCAAATCTCTACTGGAGATCATTGATGCACCATACCATCTCATCGATTTCGTCTTTGGTGTAGAGCTCTGGTTCCAAAATCGATCCATATTCTTAGTAGCTGTCTATCGATGCACATTGTCTCCTATCAATCGATGGAGGGGGTGTCCCTGTCGGTCGATGTCTGTTGTGCTCTGTTGATCGTTGATTGCTTCAGCATGCCTAGTTGTTGCTGAGATTCTCTGGTCCATTGGCCATCTGAAGGATGCTGTTATGTCCTCTTTGGAGGCTTGTAAAACCCTTCCATCCATAGCTCGTGTGTGGCGTTCTGGATCCCTGAAAATACCAAACTCATTCAGTTTCAGAAAATTTTCAATATGATATTGCTTAAATAAATGAGGTTTGGAGTTGATATTGAGAGTCAATGATCTTCGGATGGTTGAAGGTTGCGCTGTTTTCTCTTTAATGAAGATCTCTGAAGGTAGTGTCTCTCTTGCTTTGTCTTTCAAAGGGTGTAGGTGCTTGCATCTTGTCTGATTCTATGGTATGATATGTCTCTTGATTGCAAAGCTCCTTATATAACCATCGTTTTCCCTACTAGGAATTGGAAAATTTCCAATTTTCTTGAACTTGGTGGTCTCAAAATCTATCGATGTCCACAGATGCGTGTCGGTCAATTCGCGATGTTGGTTTGCCTGATGAGGGATGTTATCGATCAGAAAACAAGTCATAATGGTTTTTATCGTAAAGTTCCAATGGTAACTCGGATCGAGAGGAAACGAAAGGTGTTCCGATCATGGTTTGGAGCATGATTGATTAAAGGGGTGCATTCCTTGTGTCCGGATCATTAACGGATAGTGCGGATGGTACGGCCAGATCACCAAGCCGGTGAGCATGGTTGGTACGGCCAGCTTGCCAAGCCAGCGAGCTGGATCGGTACGGCAAGCTCGCCGTCTTGGCGAGCTGGGTCGGTACTTCCAACTCGCCGTCTTTGCGAGCTGGGCGGTCTTGGCCAACTTGCCAAGCCGGCAAGCTGGATTGGTACGGCCAGCTCTCCATCTTGGCGATCTGGACGGTCGTGGCCAGCTCGCCAAGCCGGCGAGCTGGATCGCTACGGCCATCTTGACGTCTTGGAAAGTTGGACGGTTTTGTCAAGCTCGCCAAGCCGGCGAGCTGGGTCAGTACGGCCAGCTCGCCGTCTTGGCGAGCTAGACGGTCTTTCGCCAAGTCAGCGAGCTGGGTCAGTACGGCCAACTCGCTTTCTTGGTGTGCTGGACGGTCTTGTCCAGCTCGCCAAGCCGGCGAGCTGGGTCAGTACGGCCAGCTCACCGTCTTGGCGAGCTGGGTCGGTACGGCCAGCTCACCGTCTTGGCGAGCTGGGTTGGTACGACCAGCTCACCATCTTGGCGAGCTGGAAGTTCTTGTCCAGCTTGCCTAGCCGGCGAGCTGGTCCAGTACGGCCAGCTTTGCGTCTTGGCGAGCTGGACGGTCTTATTCAGCTCGGTCGTTTCTTGTTTTCTCAACCCGGGATCCTTTTGGAAAACATAAGGAGAAGTAATCGTAGACGTTGATTTTGAAGTTACCGTTTTTGACCCCATCATGAGGTCTTTTTAATGCTTTCATACTTTGATACGAGTTTTCCGTAACTTCGTATCTCCGTAGAAAGTCTACAGTTTTCTTGTATGCTTTTTCCGGGACTTTTAGCCATTGATTCCGTTGTGACCGATTTTGACCGCAACAAATAACATCACTCACCAGAAAGAATCATGCTCGAAAGTTGCAGGCTTGGTGGGGGGCTAATTGTTGGGATCAAAATGGTAATCTCGAAATCAACATCTAAGATTGCTAGTCTTAAGGAACTTTCCTGAAATAATTTCAGAAAATTCCTAAGTAGAAAGCCTTGGAATATCAAAACAGCCTCGTCCAACTCAGCGTATGGCGAGTAGGACTGACCACGTCCAACTCGCCATAAAGCTAGTAGGACAGACAATGTCCAACTCGCCATATGTTGAGTAAGATGAATGTTATACATTATCATTTACCAGTTTTAGACCATGTTATGGACCCCATTTGGAGTTTATTATGCGTGTCTAGACTATTTTTAGAGTCTTTATAGGTCCATGTACGTTGGAGTTATGTGGAGCATATGGAGAATTTGAGATAAAGAAACCCGTAGCTGACAAGAATCAGCTAAGCCAGAGTCAATACACAAGATTGACGTTGATCGACAGAGCCACCTTGGCTTTGATCGATGGTTAAAGCGCACAGATCCTACTTTTTCATAACTGACTTAAAACACAAGTTACACATAGTTACAAGATTACCATTGGACATATTTAACCCTAATTTTAATTGTTTCTGCCATTGTTAGGCAGAAGACCACGCTTTTGTTTTCTAGAGTTTTTCATATTGTTGTAGGGGAGAAGATCAAAACTTCTTTATAGCTTTATAATGAAACCCCATCTTATTATCTATGCATTATGTTCAGTTTTGAATGCTTATTTGGTTGACAATGTCTGAGTAGTTTACATAGTTAGAACTAGGGTTCTTAATGGTATCACTGGATTAGCCAAAACTAGATCTGTTAGGATGAATTAATATCCATTAATTAGAATTTTTCTTATTGCATGTGTTCTAGAATAGCTAACTAGAACCTAAACTTAGGACATAGAAAGCTGCGAGAGTAGGTTCTATGCCTGAATAAATTTTGTTGTACAAGGTTGTTAGATGCTTGCGAAAGTTAGGTTGATCAATTTAGTGGACATATCAAACTCGTCATACTTCATGTCCAACTTAACCAGATCGACACCAGTGTTACACCATCTATCGATGGTGATTCCCTTTGATCATATCGACAACTGGAATAGGGGGAGTCAGATTAGTTACAGTTTAGTCCTATTATATTAGTGTAACCCTGCATTCTACAAATTATAATCCACGTGCAAGATCTAGCTAGTTTCCATATCTGAATTCACTTAAGTTTAGAATATTTCCTTTTTACTCACACCTGATAACATATATAAAAACATCACTTAGCTTAACCATTAGGATAATACAAAGCTATTGTGTGCCTGCACTCTATCTGGATTCGATCCCTAAGGACTTCAACTCGACCTCTCTTCGTAAGAGTATTGTAGTTGTTCCATTGGGTAATTTGATAGATTGAATTAAGATACTTGAACCCTAAAGAAACGCTCTGTAAAATTTGGCGCCGTTGCTGGGGGAGCAAAGATCGCCATTAGATTTATTTTCTAGGTTAGTCTAGGTTTCTTTTTAATTTTGAAGTGAACTATGTTCAGCTTGATCCTCGAAAGGGGTACGTGGCAGCCTTTCATAAGGTCCAGTTCGAAATCAATCTAAGCTTTTTTCGTATGTTTTTCGTCATTTGTTATCGAGCTTTGACTTAACTAGGTTTAAGGTTGCTGGAACTAAGTAACTCGCTGGCAGCTCTTGCGGCCAAAGCTTTTATAATTTTACGCAGATTTAAAATAAACTTTTTCTATAAATTCGTATCTTTCGTATTTTCCAAATTTATTTGATCACTTGTCGTTGAATCTCGCAGAGAATCCGGGACCTCATGGAGAGTTTGGTTTTCTTAGCTTCCCTAAATAAACGTAAATCGATAGTGTGAATTCCAGTTCTCACACTCTTCAGTTTCCGACAGTATTAAATAGAGTATTCGAGTAGACTAATGTTTTGTGTACTGTATTAACTATTGTTGGATCAGTACTTATTGTTCGGATTTTTTCTTAAAGATCGGTAGATATGGTCACCTGACATTAATGATGCACATGAGCTCTTGTTTAAATCAGTTTACAGTAGTAAAATATTTCAGTTTATTAACATTACTAACTTATGACTCTTCTCATGTGTTGTTTCTTCATGATGGTTCGCTGTGTCTGTATTTGGCTAGGGGAGTGGAAGAAAAATGGCGACCAAGAATGGGATTTCATCACGGTCCCTGAAGATTTTGGTTGTAGGTTGTTGATAGACAAAACATCAACCTTTAAAATCCTTGACCAGATTATTAGGCGAGTTACAGCCTAGGTCACCGTACTCCCGTGGATGTGTCGTACCGTCTGCCTACTTGGATGCTTATCCCACTAGGTAACAAGACACCACCAACCACAATTTACAACCACATCTGATCTCTCCATGTTCCTCAATGTGAGAACATGGCTGGAGGAAATAGCATTGCTTGTAACAGTGGATCCTAAGGTAGTAATTCCTTAGTCTATCAAATCTCACCATTGGTGCAACAGCTTATGTTTTTGACATGACCGCAACTGAAAAATCCAGAGCTTCGTATGATAGTAAGTTTGTAATAACAAGGAGAATATCTCTGTATATAAACTATTTGTGTAGAATATCTTAACAAGTTATGATTTTCATGCAGGTCTTGTGTTTGGTGATCGTGTAGCTCAAACAGAAAGGGTCATGAATGCGGTTTTTCCTGAGGAAGGGCTACTTCTTTTTCATTAGTTTTCTTTGGAGATGGCTTACGCTTACAATTTCCTTGCAAATCAAGATTGCAACACACCTCCATTCAGGGAGATCATTGAACTTGAAAACAATGATGATGAAGTGATGGTACATGAAACTCTGAAGAATGTAGTAAGAGGTTTTTGTTTTATTTATTTATTTTAAGTTAATGTGTTTTGGTTATAAGGTGTGATAAGTTTATTGTTTAGTAAAATACATTGATATTGGACTATGAAATATGTAATAACTGTCTTCAGTTTTTAACAAAATATTTACAAATTAATATGTCAACCTATGATACAGTAGGTGCTGGTGACATTGTGCCAGACTATATTTCTCAAGCAGACGCCCCACCAGTATTTTGGGATGTTGGAATGGACTTAATGAACTACACAACACATGGAAACAACAGAGGACCAGCTGGTGAAGCGATTCAGAATGGTATGAGGTTTTGGGAAGAAGTTGCAAATGAGGGGGTAGGTTCTCAAGAAGGATAAACGGGTAATAATCCAATTGAGGATCAAAATGTTAGAGTGGTTGTAGGTAATACAACTCAGGGTTGTGAGAACCAGAAAACAAATGAAGGGATAACAAACACAGTTAGAGATGATGAAAGCGGAGGTTCTTCTACATGGTTGACAAATACAAACCTTGTGCCTAATGGTGTGCGTATCCAAGTCCCAATGAATGAGATGGTAGAAGAACAAAGGGTGGACCTACTTGATGATTCTGAATTTGTCCTACAAAAAATCCAATGGTACATGCTAATAAAAATTTATGAGTGAAATTTCAAGATATGAAAGACTAAATGATAATATATAATATATAAATGATAACAAAAATGATGGCATGTAAAGGATTCGAATCAGCCTAAACGGATTCGGCTGAGGGGAGCAAGGGAATAGCATGTGAACCTATCGGTTTTGATACGACTTTGCGATCAATGATGAAGTTAGCTATTGGAGGTGCATTGAAAGGAGTTGGTACCAGAAAGAGATGGGAGAAGGCCAAGGAAACTTCCTCTGAAGGGAGTAGCACAGAGGTACGTGTGGAAATTTTTATGTTGGAGTGGAGGGGTCGTAATAACTTAAGTGTCAAGTTTTTTTCCAAGTGTGATTTCGATTTGGTGGTTATGCAAGAGATTTTGTCGGCTAATATTTAGATATGCTTTTTATTTTTTTATTAGCACGCTACATTATATGTTAGAGGCTGGATGGTCATTTTGTTCAACCAAAAAAGAGACATGTACGGTGGTCTGTTTAAAATTTTCGTTATCGTAATGATGTTATATGGAACTCTATTGGTTGTACCATTGATTTTTATTCTATATATATTCTGTATATTTATTTCTATTCAATGTTTTGTGTTTCTTTTATCATGTTTGAGTAATCGACCTGTTAGATTAAGGGATTTTATGAGTTTAATGTCAAACTGAATCTGGTAGATTTAGGGATTTTACCAGGGTAGCTTGTAATACAATGATCTGGAATAGTTAGAATACCATGATAGTGTGACTGATTGTTTGAACCTAGAATCATAGGACAATTGAGAGGTACGAAACTGAAAGTATTGACGGAACCCTAGCCCTGAGTGGATTAGATATCTAGGCGCATATGACAGTTTGTCTAGAAATCTAGTTGAGCATAATCGACTAGGTCGTAATTCTTGATTTATGTGAGCATCGATCGTTACTATCTTAATATCATCGATCGACAGTCTATTCCGAGTTCTCAACGAGAGTTGATGACAAATACTTAAATCATATGATAGTTTACTTATCTGATATCTTACTGTTTGCATTCAAATTCTAGAATTGAATCTATAAAATCCTTAGCATCCTTGAATTGTAGTTTTTAATCTCTTGATTAATAGATCCCTAATTCTACCATTTATCTTTTATATTCTCACAACCAATCAATCATTTTCTCACTGCTTTGTTTACTGTTTTTATTATTGATTGCCTAGCTTGATATCTCTAGTCTATTGTGTGTCCACGCTCTCTGTGGATTCAATCCCTAAGTATTACAAATGACCATCTTATTTAAGAGAGTAAAAAATCACTCCTTAGGATAGTTTGAGTGATATCAAATTAGGCGTCGTTGCTGGGGAACATTGGATTTTCCATTAGACTTGATTAATAGGTTTAGCCTAGGTTTTATTTACTGTTTTAGTTACTTGAAAAAAAGATTCTTGTTATTCAGGTACATGCCTATTAGTACCAGAAACAGCAAGAAGGAATTACTATTCTTTTCAGATCCAGCACGTTTGGAATGCTCTATCCGCAAAGAGAAACACACAGCATCGATCGACACCAGCTCTTCTTCATCGAATGACACTTGTGAGAGAGCAACAATCGACACTTCTACTCGAACATCTATCAATACCAATCCGTTAGCAGACATTTTCGTGACGCTTGTAAAAAAAAGGGATGCATGACCCCGAAGGTCATTTCTGTAATGCAGCAGGTCAGAAAATAGATGGACATGGAGCTGCAATCCCTGAATCATATGCTGTTACTGAGGATGCTAAAGATCCTCGACAGAGAACGCTGCCAGAATGTATCAGGCTTAGTTAGTTCTATACCAGTAGGTATGTGATTCAACCTCCAGTAATACATGGAATTGATATAAAACCCGAATACTTCTCCTATGTGGGTCAGCACCCTTTTTTTTGTCTTCCTCACGAAAATCCCATGGACCATATTGAGACAGTAGAAGATTTTTGTCTGGTACCCAGGGGCATGAAACAACCAAATACTACATCATCTACAAGTTGTTCAAATATTCTCTCTCTGAGAATGCAGTTAGTTGGTCGAAGCTCATGCCACCAAGATCTCTCACTACTTGAAGTGATGTTAAGAATTCTTCTCTGACTAAATTCTTTGATGATGAACGGGCTGAAGAGATGAGAGATAAAATATGGACATTCTCTTAGGGACCACATAAGCTTTCAAAAGGTCTTGGAGAGGTTTAGAAGTTACCAAAGGGACTGTCCACATCATGGTTTTACGAAGATTCTGATGTTGAAGAACTTCTGCAAGGGTATTGATGTGCGATATACTGGATACTGCAAGGGACTGGAACTTTGAAATAAGGACCCTAGAGGAAGCTAAGAAATTGATTGAGAACTTGGTGTCTAGCAAAATCACCAAAAATCTGTATATGCATTGAATAAAATCGGTTGTAATGGATGGTGAAAAGATCGTTGAGGCTGAGATTGGTTCTGTACATAAAGTAACATTGGTGGAACAGGCTGTAGAGAATGATGAAAATCAGGACCATATTCAGAGGATGACATCTATGATTGAAAATATCTTGAAAATTCAACAGAAAATGAGTGACTACTTAAATATGAGTTTGGATTTTGTCTACAAAGAGTTGATTGGAAAATTTTAAGTCTTGGATGCCCATGTCATGATTCTAGATACCAAGGTTTCTCAGACTGCAATAACCACGAAGATGCAAGAAGCTCTAGTTAAAGAGCTGAGGAGTTCAAGAGGCATCAGGTTGATGCCATCTTAGATAATAACCTTGGGGAAGTAATCGAGCATGAGAAGCTAAAAGAAGGTGCCTTTTGATACTTGCTCAAATATTACCCTATGGAGCAACTTACTCTCTCAAATAAGAGAACTATTGCAGTACTTAGGGATCGAATCCACAAGGAGCTATGGAACCTATTAAAGCTAATCAATCAATACCCTAGGTGAATATAAATAGCAAATCACAGTAAACAAGTAAACAGAAAAAAATTTCTAATTAAGCAAGAAAATTAATTAACAAGAATGGAATGAGTTTTGTGAAACTAAAACGGAAAGGTGTTAGACTTAGGACTTTTATTCAGGTGTTGGATATTATAATCCTATAGGTGCCATCTAGTTGTTTGCATGGTATTAAAGAGCATTAAGTATTATAGCAACAAATTTACTAAACTCTCATTTAATAAATAAGCCTATTGACTAGAATGCTATTGACCTAGACAAGAGTGTCCGGTCAATGACAGTGTCGATCGATTATTCTAAAAGAATATCGACCGATTCACTTTACTTCCCATCGATTGATTGCTTATAGGAATATCGATCGATGCGGCTAGTCAAGCATTACACACGAGTTAACAAAGACTCACCATGGATCCCTAGATCAAACTATCGATGTGTTTCTAGTAAAATCCTAGCTTAATCAAGATGTGTTCAAGACTATCAGAGTTATTCTTTTTTTTTTGTCAACCGTCTATCTAAACTAGATCAAGTGGTGGTCAGACGAGAATATTCTCTGAGGAGACTATCAGGTTTATTCAAAGATATCTAAACAACCTAATAATCCTAGATTCAGGTTTCTAGTTAGCAAGTCTAGAACATGAGCATTAAGAATATCCTATTAATGAATACCACAAAAAGCAATCCTATAGTTGGGGCTAATTCGTCTAACCTATTTAAACCCTAATTCTAACAAGTGAATTACTTAGACATAGCTAAGCAATTCATAACACAAGCAAAGTAATAAAACTGCATAGTATAGATAGATAGATAGAAAACAATGGAGTTCCAATCACAAATCTCTCTGATGATCTTCTCTCCTAAACTATAAATCCTAGAACCTTTTGCTGTGAAAAGAATACAAAAAAATCTCTTTCTTCCTATAACACTTTGGCAGAGTATATAAACTTAGTTTAAAGCTCGTCAGGGGTAAAATCATCATTTGGTAATGTGTGGGCTTCAAGTTGGCTTGTCTCGCGAATTGGTCTCCGCGCCTTTGGCATCGATCGATCATGCAAGGTGCATGTCAATCGACGTGAGTCACTCCATGTCGACCTTGATCGTCGTGGTCGATTCCAAATCGAGTGATTTCTCCAATTTTCTCTAAAATGCTCCAAAAACATCATTTTTTCCAAAATACTCATGAACCTATAAATATGCTTAAAAGCTTCTATAATATAATAAATAATAGTAAAAAAATTAATATACCATAACTAAAAATGGTTCAATATTATGGTTTATCAAACTCCCCCAGACTTACCCTTTTGCTTGTCCTCAAGCAAACAAACTGGCAGTCTCTCTGAAAGAGGTTTGAAAAGAATAAGGACTCACTGATTTAAAAACTTTGAAATCATAACCTCTATAATATTGCAATCCACTTCTAAGAAGTTCTAACCATAGAAGTTCATTATGCCATATCCTAGCTTAGCAACCAAATTCATCCAACCAAAAACTTAGCAAATACTATCTAACATTCCCCTCAACTAACCTCATTTCTTAACATAAAATAGAAGTGCAGGCTTTACCTTGAGCGTATCGATCACATGATGCAAGAAATCTCAAACAAGTATCTGGATCTGCAGGTAAAAGTTAGTTCCTATATTTTCTCTCTTCTAAGTTCTCTCTTGAGTCAAAATCTGTTTTTAAGGCATGATTATTGACCAAGATTGGACATGCTTCCATGAAACAAGCCTTGATGGTGTTTGCCACCAAGTCTTGATCACTTCTTTTTGACCTATATCCAAAAATTCATATGAAGTTAACCTTAATGGTTTTAGCCACCAACTCCCATTCGAATTCTTTTATTGGAATCATTATGAAGTAAGCCTTAATGGTTGTAGCCACCAAGTCATGTTCTGATTCCTCCTAACTAAAAACCTAATAAACTTAAGTCTTATTTTCGGATTTTTTTTTTTAACTATAAATCTACTTAACTATCTAGGGTCGAAAATAGAGAGAGAAAAGGTGATAAATCTACACAAGGCTTTACCTTCCAAACTTGTTTGAAGAATCCGATCCCATGTATACCAAGCC